CCCCCCTCCTTCCCCTTTCAGATCAGAAAAGTTTTATCACCAGTAACTACACACACACATAATACACACATGCGTCTTATTTACTTTTGTCTTGTCTCGATCTCTCCCTGCCACCCAGAGCTTCGACATACCGCGGTGCGGAATGAAATTGATCTGTCTCACGATTAGGTAACTACACTCATGATCCCGAGCGATGAAAAAGAAACCCCTTTTCTCTTTCTTTCATCAATACTGAGGCAGGCCAAAGTCCAACACTTTTCAACACTGACAACAGTTCCACGATTCAGCCTCAAAGCAACAAATTATATAAATTATGAACTTTTTTTCACGTGTTAATGGATTTTTTATAAAATGTTTTGGAAGTAGGATTTTTGTTTTGTAATGATTTTTTGTGTTATTTTTGTTGTTGTTTTTTGTTTTTTTGGGGGGGGGGCGTGGATGGGGTTTGGTGGAGGGATGGGGTGGGGGTAGTTGTGGGGGCTGAGGAGGCTTTTTTGCTTTACTATATTCTTTTTATTGATTTGTTGGCGTTTTCTTTCTATGAGGGGAGGGGGTGGAAGGTGGATAGGATCTCTTTTAAACCTGATTTTCTTCATTTCCTCTCACTGTTATCATGCACGAGACCAATTTAATTTATGGACAGTTAAGCAAATAAACAAATAAAATGTTAATGGACAAATGAGAGATAAAAGTGAATGAATTAAACGATTTCCCGAGTCACAAGGCAAAAGAGAAAGAAAGTATGAACCAGGAAACGACTGGCAGCAGCAAAAGCTAATCTATGATTTTTTTTTTTCTTCCTTCTTATTTTTCTGCCGTGTCATGATCTGTAATGCTTCAATTGAGATCCTTGACTTGAGCTCTCAGAACCGACCACATTTTTCCCAGTCAAAAATACTTGGCCTATATCCTACATTTTCCCCCCAAGAAATTTTGGATTCCAGAAATTTTCCGTACACTTTTTTTTTTTTTTTTTTGGGGGGGGGGGGGGGGGGGCAGCACACAGTGATGAATATTGCGCTGTATACGAAGAAGTAAATAATTCGTCGTTCAGACAGTCATGACAGGAAGTGGGCCGTTGTTATCGTGAGGTCGTCTGGTGCTGCGGTTCTGGACGTATGCAAAACGCAAATAGAAAATACGGCATCTTCTCTGATAAGACTGATCCAAATGTAGAGCGTGCTGACAAAATGAGTTACTTCTCGGATTCAAAACTTATATGGAAAAAGATATAGACCTATCACGCTTATAGCTGAAGTTTTTTAATGATTTATTAGTAGGGCTTATGGAATAAAACAGGCATGTTATAGTTAAAGAATATGGCTCATTTTGTCAGCAAGCCTCACAAATTGAGGGTGGAAAGCTGTAAAAACTCCCGAAAACAACCCAAGTTCAAAACGACCTGTCGGGGATTCAAACCAAAGCCACCTACTCCGTAAACCATCAAGACACCAACGAGGTTTACGGTGCTTCACCAACGCCCTGGATATCTTTCTCTATGGGCAGACAGTGACTTCACTGACTTCCCCAAGAACAAACTCCATATGTGAGGCATCGTGGTGGAATCAGGCTCTCGTCAATTTTTGGGCATGTGGAGTTATTGGTATCATCTTAAAGCTTGTTCACTTGTCTTTATTTGGATGGAAAAAAAATATCCGTTTATCTTAAATACAAGTCGAGATATTTGAGAATGAAGGAGGTGGGGGTTACCTGTTTTCAGAGGTAAAATTAGTGAGAAAATGGCCGCCAAAGATTCGTTATTTCCTTAGCTTAAGAGTTCGTGGTAACTGAAAATTTACATCTCTTGTGTCTTTAATCAACGTTTTTCAGAAACATCCACACAGAAATGAGTTCTTTAATGGGCATGAAAGGTGTTGAGCCAAAAAACAAAAATCTGATAAAAATCCACAAACCTGTTCAATAATGCAAGTTTCTTCACTTTGATTATTTTGACGAGAGCCTGATTCCACCACGCTGCCTCACATATTGTTTCGATGTTGAAGTAGTGGCCGTCTAATACTGGACAGCATACATAGTGTCATTATATTTAACCCTATCCGTACGCCCTGGGATCATTTTGTACCCCGTGGTTGTATTCTTAACATTTTAGAATACTTCAAGTACAAAGATCTCTTTGAAACTTTCAGTATTTCTCAAAAAAATCATTTTGACAGACTGCTATGCAAAGCCTACGGATTGGATTAACGAGTAAATTTCCTCTTTGGAAAGTGGTGGCAAAGAATTCCCCACGTCGTATGGATACGATGGTAAAACACGACGTACGGATAGGGTTAAAAGACACAAAGGGGTGGGGGG